CGCCGCGGACCCCGTGACGTACCCTCGTGACAGACTCCCCCGTAATGTCATCTCCCTCGCTTGCATCCGTGACGTCATCCCTTCCTCCGCGCCGTGGGACCCCCTGGCCCTCCCCCTCCCCCTTCTCGGAAGAGCTGAGTTAGAATCCTATGTATTCTACTTAAAATATTATTAAAATTGTAATAAATTATGATGAAATATTACCGAAATTCTTATTAAAATCTATATCAATTGATTATGCATTTTCAGCAATATTTCATTTAAGATTTCATGACAATTCATTAATACTTTATTAACAATTTAATAGAAAATATTGTTAGTTTATCTTCGTATTTGTACAAAAAATACAACGAATGTATACTCTTGGACAATGAGATCGGAACATGATTTTTTCTCAATGATTTGCGAAATGCGTAAAAGTTTTTAGAGTACGTTCCATTATGGTTTCATATATGGCCTGTAATGAGTGGTTATGATAGCTACCATATGAAATCGAAATTCTGTGGAATTGAAATATACAAAGTAAAATGAAGAAATGTGCGACGTACATTTAAAGTAAATAATAATTCAAATGCCTTTGCGAGCCATCACTGATTGAAGAGCGTAGGAAAATAGTATAATTAAATCTCTCAATTTGGTAATGATAAAATTTATTCCTCGAAACATTTCAATCCTAGATTCTGTTTTCCAATATTAATTAATTTTTTGTTGGCTGAATTAGCACACTAAATGTTATTATGCTATACTAAGTTATCGCTTTTAATAAACTAATTGTAAGTTAGTTTTCCTACAATCCTCGATTTTAAATGTTAAAATTACATACTTTATACTAATACATGTTTTATATTAGTCAGAAACAAATTTCCATTTTCATATGGTAAACCTGGAAACGTCAAGGAATTTCATTCTTTGTAACAATTCTGAATACGTCATATTGCTACATGTAACCACATTGGTTATAAATCTATTCAAATATCCATTCAAATAAATTCAGATTACACTTTATACCGATAATAAAAGTTCTTACAATCAGTGACTCGGCAAATTATCGTAAAATGTATTGTAAAAAATGATGTAAAAGGGCACCACACTCGTGCCGTACACTAGCTGGAAGATTGTCAAATCATACGATGGAGAGCCAAAAAATGAATCATAAAATTTATTTATTGCGCTATAAACGCAGCACTAGTACTGTAGAGATTGCATTGTCACTAAATATATACTTTCACAAAAATACAAAGCGGATATTGGAAACTGACACTACACAATATCACGTTATCATGCTAATAATATGGAGGAAATCTATTGCCTACAACACATGTTCTTCAGGACATAAAGCATAATTCAATTAATCACTATGGAAATATCGCAACAAGCAAGCTAGAAAATGATGATATACAGATTTACCCCGCTATTTTGCTTTCCCTAGTCTTTCGTAACAAAAAGATATAAAACTTGTTTTTAATACTACACTAGAAACTTAATTCATTAATATCTTTTAATAATAATAATTGTAATATACTAATATTTTAGAATATAAGTACCTAATTAACTAATTAACTCCAATTTGCATTTATTAAACGAAACTTTTCACTAATGTTACTCACCCAAAAGCAGCACCGCCATCAGATGGTCTCGGCGGAATCTGTATTTCTCGTAAATAAAACATACAGAGTAAAATAAAAGACACATTGCGAGATTCTCCATCCGTATTCTAACGAAGTTATTTCTTGAAGGCGACCTTTGGTTTCAAAATGAAAATAAAGTCTATTTTGAAAATTTTATTTAATTTTGTGTAAAAGAGTTAAATCAGGTGTATTCTATTCTTAAAAATTAAATATGAAATTAAATAAATATTGAATCAATCTTTCCCTGAATATCTTATACAGTTCAACAGATATTAAATTTCTATAATATCTTCTCATTGTTGAATTTACGTTTTGTAATATTGCAATTTAACGTTTCTGATATTGATTCAACATTTATGTGCTATATGAATAATTAGACAATAGAATATAATTGATTGGTTCCAAAGATAACAACTTTAATCAAATTTAATTACATGATAAATAGACTATCTGCTTTTTCTGTTTGAATTTTGCTAATACTTTAAAAATTCAATTTTGATCCATTGTATTTAAAAAAAAATGTTTTGTAGCACTAAATGTCTTTAAAATATCCCAAATATGTCGAAGATTCTAATTTAAATGTTTAAAATATTTAGGTTAGGTTATTTTATCTTTTGATAAACTTCAGCTCACTGTCTTACACTCTTACACTTTTGTGTTCTTACTTTTTTACTCTTTTGTTTATCCAATAAGTAAATTACCATGTAGTTTATCCAAAGATGAAACAACTGGCCCTTAATATATAAAATATATTGAATATATATTGAGATTTTTTTATTACGTTTTTTAAACATAACTGTGATAAATCTCTATATTCTATATTGAGTTACTTATATTCTACAATTTTGATAATAGGTATCTTACTATCTTCCCTCGATCTTTAACCTCTTTTAATAAAAATATGACCCAGTGTGTGAATATAATATGTGAATGTATTTGTAAATGTGTGCGAGCGTATGCATACGGTGTACGTGCATGCGCACATGTATGCGAAGTATGATTATTAAATAGCGGAATTGGCCAAATAAATGTTAAGTGTCGTCTCGCCGGGCCGAGCTTAAAAATCGAACAACGTATTAATTAAAATTTTTAGTTAAATTAAAAAAAGGTTCGTTTTTGCCTGATTTGGTGTCTTGTTTTGTGACTCTTTTATTTATTCCAAAAGTAAAACGTGTGTGAAGCAGGGAATCATTTTCAATCCGAAGAGATGAAGAAGAAAATGGCGAATCTACCGAAGGGCTCATAATCAGTTTCAACATTGCTTTGAACAATGAAAGACGCATATGCAGAAGTATGTGAATAGAAGTGGAGAGTATATCGAGGGGATTATAAATTAGATTTTTTAAATAAAGTACATTGATTTTTCATACTGGATCCGTTATTTAATAGCCATACCTGATATATATTGTGCGTATTTGCAAGCTTATACGTATAGAGAGAAAAGAATTCATGCATGCATGCATATATAGGTGTAGCTGAAATAAGGTAACAAACTTTGGGGCCGATGTGTCCAAGTGCATATTGAATCAAATGGGAGACCCATTTCGAACATTCATTTTAATTCAAAAATACAATTAATAATTAATATTAAATAATAATAAATATTACTTTTTTATTTTCTCATTAACAAACATTTTGAACTCTATCTCAGTAACAATAATTTTACGGGCACATGAGTGTTTTTTGATGAGTGGAGATTTCGATCCTGAAGTTTGTTACCTTATTTTAGTTACACCCTGTAGTGGGATAAATGTAGGTGTAGGTGTGTCTATTGTGTCTAAATACGGTGCTTTATTAAAGCTTTTATGTGACCATGTTCTATCAACGAAAACGTTGTGCTTCGTAAAAAAGAAATGGCAGGAGAGGCAGTGCATACACCCAGTGGACTATATAAGTAGTGTGAATATCGTATAAAAGTATCGCGAACGATGATTGATTTCAAGATATTTCAAGAAGTGAAGAGAAGGTAGAAAAGTTCACATTTTGCTCGAAGAGTCAGACAAAATATTTGTGTCTGGATGACAGAGAAATATGCAGGGCGAGAAAATACACTACTCAACAAAATTAAAGCATTGCTTGTTCCACTCCCCCAAAATAGGCAAATTTTGAGATAAAATAATTTTGTAAAAAATCATCGTATAGAGATTAAAAAAAAAAGCATTTTAGAGCATGCAATTTCTACATTTCTTATAAATTGATGAGATTGCACGGCGCGGATTGAAAATTGTGCACAAATGTGGGATTGACAACTTTCGAAGTTTGTGTGCTTTTTTTCCGACATAAAAATAAAAATGTCCTCTTTTGCTTCAACGTTGAATAACTCGGTGAAAAAAATCGTACAAAGATCGAAAAAAAAAGCAAATTAAAAGTAAAGATTCATTCTTTCGAACGCTGTAAACCGCATTTGTGTACAATTTTTAGTTCGCGCCATGGAACTTCTTAAATTTCGTAAAAAATTTTGAGATGTGATGCATCTTCATTTATGTTTGTGTGAAATATCAGTAATACCGTTTTTTTTAAGTACCAGCATGAAAAGTAGAAATTTAAATTGTTTGAATATTGTTTGGAAATTTTAAGCTCTTTAAAATTAAAATGCTTTTTTAAAAATCTCGATACGATAATTTTTGATAAAGTTATTTTATCTCGAAATTTTTTTGCCTATTTTGCAGGGTGGAACAAGTGATGCTTTAATTTTATTGAATAGTGTATATTGCGCACACGTTAATTATTTTAAGTTTTAATAACTACATGTCTGTATCATGGACTTATGAACAGCCCATTGGTGTATGTAGTGCCGTCAGAAGGAATACATTAGTGATCGTAAATACCTTCGTAGTACAAAAGCAACACTCGAATTCACTAGGTAATTCATCAATTTTCTCGATTTTTCTGCTGTCTTTTTTCTCTTCATCCTACAAAAGGTCACACATTATATATATTTTTTTTTTCGTGATTTACTTTTTATAAATAAATACACAACTCTCGCTTCGGAAACAATCGAAATGTTTTATAGCTATTCTCTTTCTTTTAATATCTGTTGTCTCTATCGTGATTCTTTCAACTGAAATTTAGTACTGATGATACAATTCGATCGATTCAAAAACGAGCCAAACCATCAATAACTTAATATCAATATAAAAACGCAACAACGCGCGTACGATTGCATGGAACTAGAAAAAGAATAGAATTTTCAATTTTACGAGATTGAAAATAAGATCCATTCATGATTATAAATCGGATGTACTTCTCCTGTGTATTTCTTTGAATATGTAAATACTATTTTGTTCATTCTTTTAAACATATTCCAGAGAAATTATTATAGCCTAGCTTTCTGCTTGATGATCATTTTTATCTACAGCATTATTATCAAGTTAACTGCAAATAAATTAATAGAAAAACTTCAATCTTGAGATCACGTCGAAAAAATATTTTATAACGTTTCTTAATTTGTTTGAAAACTTGAAAATTTTTTTTTTAAATGCTTTCTTATAAATTGAGCTACAATCTTCTTTTATTAAATTATCTTAACTTAATGTTATCAATACATTTTTAGCTTTTTATCAATAGATATTTCTAACATGTCGCCGGTATTATAGGTACAATAACATTACCGGGTAACACTTAAGGACTTCATCAGCACAACATGTCTGTAACTGAGTCGTAAAACATGAGACGTAGTCGCAGGTCAATGTACAATATATTGGTAAATCTATAAGTACGATTCGTTTACGGCCATTTTTTGTACTTAGGCCTTAATTTGGACACGTAATAAATTATAACACCGCTCGCAATTGAACAATTTTTAGACATGTTCAGAATTGACATAAAAACTCCACATTGATTTATGTAAGATGTTCATTGGATTCAGTGGCTTATGCTACGATTGTGAGCTGATGCCATTTTGTGTGTAATGACTTTTAAAACTGATTAGATATACGGTTTAGTTACAGAATAATTTAACACAGACATCGAGCGATTGAAAATCACACGCTTGAATTACGTACACATTAAAGTATAGTACTAGAGCGACAATACCATTTAAAAGTTTGATTCCATCGCGCGTTCATTGACGGTACCCCCACTGCCACTAGTGAGAGAAAATTTTTACGAGTGTCAGTTACACACTCTAAGACTCTCGTATATGATACAAACTAATCTAATAAATATGTAGCAACGTTGCATTCAGTTGCACTGCTACATATTTCTAACTTCAGTATTAAGTGTACAAATGAATTCTCGGCTCTTTCAGCGACCTCAGAATTCGTTTAAGTTGAACTCCCCCTCCCCTCTGTCATTTTGAAGTGATATCTTTTAGCTTTAAAATGAGGTACAATACTTGATCCTCCTGTGAACCTGAAAAATCAGCAGTAAACACGATGTTGTTCAAAAAGCTATATTTGAGGCACTGCTTTCTTTTCGCGTTTCTACTTAAATAAACGCGGCTGAGACGAAAGAAATGATTTATTCGTCTTTGAACGAGAATGCTGTATCGTACGAAAAAGTAACGAATCATTACATTTTAAGTAACGCGGTAATGCGTTGCTTTTTGAAATTGGTAACGAGTAACGGTAACTATAACGAGTTACTAGGGAGTTTTTGCAATACTGTTTATCTCTCAGATACGGCGAACGCCAAAGTCACGTTATCCTTTTCTTAATTAGGTGTGAAGAAAAGGATAACGTGACTTTAGCGTTCACCGTATCTGGAATAAACGGTATTGCAAAAACTCCCTACTTTTTTCAAAAAGTAACGATAACGGTAACGCGCACAACTCTGCTACTTTCTATGATCTGGACATGATAGCCAAAGACCAAACAATGATGCTAGATTGCAGTTTTTGAAGGAGGTGTGAGAGTGACACTATATAGCGCAGATGTAATTAATACGGACATTTTCTCGCGACAAGTGATGAGATCTAATGAGCGCATAGATTGTTTAGAAAAGCTGTATAATTGTTGAATATCGCGCATCGCGTGCGATACATAATCGCGCTAGTCTGCTATTATACTATTGGTACCAATTTACAAATGTGGATTTCACACAAATAGAAAATAAGTAGTAAAAACCTTAAACATTGAAATGGAAATGTAAACTAGTTTCTTCAAAAATTTATTTTAAATACAGAATATAAAATGAGCATTTTGCATTTTGTGTACAATATTTCCGTTTTAAATAAATTTATTTCAAATAATACTCATCTCTGAATATAAGTATTAACTATTATAAATACCGACCTAAGTCTAATTGTAAGAATTCAACATTGTTCATATAATCCCTAGCTGAAACCAAGGTTGTTTTATATGTATTAAGTATAATACTTGTAAAGTAACTGTTATTACGACACCAGAAACGGATAACAAAATTGTAGTTTTTCAATTTATTCGTTTTTGCCCAAAAAACGACCGATTTAAAATATATTATACTTTAATTGAGGAAAAAGGTTTTAAATCTATGGAAAGGTAATTAGAAAAACAAATTTATTTGAAAACCGAACAGTAAAACAACTTTTGAATTCCCTTAATGCTAGAAGTAAATCTCTCCTTGTCGGTTTTTATCGGCTTTCTGTTACTTTTATATTTTATTCCTTGTATTAATGCGAGTATGTCACTTCAATTTATAATAATTAATAATTATACATAATTTTTCGGAGATATAAAAGTGCTTTCGCTCATTCGTGTATTACTCACGCACACAAGCATACAAACACGCACGCACTCACACATTTTAACACGATTTTTTGCATTTGCTTATATTTTGCTTCTCTCGTAGTCTCGTATCTAATTAATATTATGTATCGTTTTGTTATACTTACGCGTTTGAGGGGATTATATCCCAGAGCGCTAAATAAATATTGTGACACACACTCTCACTCTCCTTTATAAATTAAACTGTTTTTACACTTAACCTCTATCGATATTTTATTATCACATCAATGTTTCATTAATAGTGAAAAGAAATTAGCATTCGATGCAAAACAATAATACATGGAAAAATATAATACATGTACGTGGAGATAAAATAATGCGATGGGGCATTCATGAACAACTCAACGTGCAAAAAACGTAGACAGTTATACATATTCAAAAATGAAACAACGAGGATTCATAAATCATTTTGATGTGCAAATTTAGGTATTTTAATTTTTAACAATATAGACAAAAGAAGAGCAAGGAGCCAGTAATGTAACAAAGAAATTTAATTCAAATAATGAAAATAAGATATTACAAAAAATATACGTTTCGATTCCGATTGGGTTATTTTCAAATAATTATTATATCGTTATTTTTTATTGCAAACTTTTCTATCATTCGTAAATATAATTGGTATAATTTTCGTAGCTAGTTGATCATGCTCAAAAGAATCCTAAATAATTTTTATGTCAATTTAAAAAGAAGGATACATTGAGAGAAAAATGTATCATTAATAATTATTTTTAAACAGCATAAATATAATATAACATTTATTAACAGAAAATAAATAATTTGTTAAATAAAAAAAAATATATAATAGTTTAATTAATAGTTCTCTTGTATTAAGTAAATTTACATTTAGTAAATATTCAACTGGCACTATTCAAACTCAAATATTTATAAAATTTAGACTCATTAACAATGTAATTACATATAGGCAGCAGCCGTATAATTCATGCTCATAACAACACTCATAAGTACTATTTTTCTTTAAAATTTTATAAACAACAAGGATGAAATGATTTTTGAGCGTTGTAAGCGTGAATCTGACTACGGCCATATATCATAATTGAGCAAAAATACAAAAACAACTAACAAGTAGAGAATAATGATAAGATGCCGATTAAAATCATTGCAGCAAAACAGCGATATCTGGTATTAATTCTCAATAGCTGATCAAAAATGTATATTCGTAAGAGCACATTCAAAATTAGTTGCGTTCAGCAGAGAAACAATAATCGATAAGCGCTCAGTAATTTTTTTTAATATAATTGATTCTTGCCTTTAATTCTTTATTAAATCAAAATGTAGAAATCAGTCATATTAAAGAATCACTGAACACATATTGATTAGTTTTTTTTACTATTAAATACAGAAATTCTTACACTATGATGCAAAGTACGCTTTGCATCAAGAAAAAAAGTTGTTCATTTTAAGTATCTTAATTTTATAACGTTCTATTTCATAAGGATTATGTATATGTTTCAATTGATATTAAAAAAACAAAGAAGTGTTAAATGTTGATGACTCATAGAATGATAATTATTTACAATAACGAACATCTCATCAATCTCGATATATGTTGTCAAAATTATAACAGCATAAGTGATACATTCAGAAAGTTTTAGTCGTTGTTCGTTGTTTATTATTAAAAAGTTGTTAAAAAATAAAGTTTACAAATATGAATATGTGTAGATAAATTTTTAAATTAATCGGTTGAACTATTTTTTCATTTTGACAAAATTAGGCATTCAACGCGCTTATGGATTTACAAATTTCCGTACGAAATACGGTTCCATTATAGATTTTCAATTTTTCGTAAAAAGTAAAATTTAATCTGAAAATAAATTAGGTTTGTATTTGCGGCAGAAAAGCCTTTCAGACACACATGTATTTTTACTTGCAAAAAGTTCAATTCTTCCTCTCTGTCTTCTCGCGAGCTAGATCGATCATTCAGAGCCATAATCTTGATAACATATATATGGTTGACGAGGTGTCCGTTATTGTAAATAATTATCTAATATTTCAATAGAATAAAATTTGTTATATAGTTACACATATTTATAATAAGCATAAAAGTATATATATTAAAAGTATATTTAATAATCTTCAAGCAAACATAATATTATGTGTTCCAAATATTAAGAAAATGTTCTAAAGATTTTAATGATTTTTGCTTTTCTAAATATACGAAAATTGCCGAATGTTAATAGAAAATGACA